ATGATAAATTTTTAATGGAACGGGCACAAACTGTTCAATGAAACAGGGTAATTTTCAATGAAACAGACTCAAACTGTTCAATAAAACAAGGTTATATATGATTGTATTAGGTTCATATCTATAACAGCTGTAATGAAACAGATTTATATTCATATGTATGTATAACAATGTGTAATGAAACATGTTCATATGTATAACAACTATATTGAAATAGGTTCATAAGTCATATATGATTGCATCAGGTTCATATGTATAACAACTGTAATGAAACATGTTCGTAGGTCATATATGATGACATCGGGTTCATATGCATAACAACTGTAATGCAACAGATTCGTAGAACATGTTTTTCCCTGTTTTGCCCTTCCGTGTCTCCAATATGATTGTTTTTTTACTTTAGTTATTTAAGTTTGTTTTAATCTTGACATTTCATAAAAAAAATGGAAAGGTAAAAAAAAAGATTAAATATTGTGATAAAGTAAGAAAAAAAATGTTTATATGTGAATCTCTTTGAAAATGTATCTGTGAACTGATGATACATATTTTCAGTATGAGTTCACATATGTATCTTCAAATGGATTTTTCAATAACTCACATATAAAACTTTATATTTTACCTTTTCACGATATTTAACATTCTTATTTGAACAGACCCCGTAAACATTATTAAAAAACAAATCAAACCTTAATCTGTTTGTCTTGATTTAACTTTAGTTGTGCCGTTTACCAAATTTTTACCCGGGCAATCGCTTACCAAGTCACTTTACTTTACCGGATGAATATGACAAAGACTAAAAATCTTACCCGGTATGAGCGAAAACAAGAATCGAGAGTCTTACCCGGTAAGTGAGGACGAAGACTCTTATCATGGTCAGTGCCTACTGGGATAAATTGTTGCATACGATGCGTTTTAGTGAATAAAATCTTACCCGGTAAGTAAGCGACAGTGTTGAAATTTACAGGTAAGTGTTTACCGAGTAAATGTTTAAGTAAACGGCCCCTAAATTTATTTTAACACAAAGTAGACTATATATGTTTTATTTATTTATTTTATGCATTGTCCTTATCATTTGTTTTAAAAATGAAACTCTTCCAAATATAAAACTACTAAAAAACACATGAATTGTATAACATTCTTATTAAAATCATGTTACAAAAAATTGTATTTGGTAACTTACCAAGACTTTTGAAAATTTATAGTTTGAACATTTTTTTAGATTGTATATAATAAATACTGATACTCAACGAACTGTATTCGACTAATTATAAATATTTTTTATCAGATCTTTGTAACAACCTTGTATGGCAGTACGTGGGGTACTACTATGCACACATTTGACGCAATATTATATAAATTTATATATGCATCAATTCACGACTTTTGGAATTATAGTGTTGATGGATGGAATAAAACATAGTTTGGTACATTAAAACTATTATGGACAAAAATCCTTCGACCATTAAAGTATGTATGCTGACAAAGGGAAGCTCGTGCGTGATTACTGCAAGCTCTGTTAATCGGGGGGAAGATTAAATGGTGGTGTTGTTGTATGGGTTTACAAGCAGAGAATTTTACGGAAAGAGACGGAATCGATCAAGAGGGAGTGAATTTTGTGGGTCACATCCTGTTTTGTTGTTTTCACTGGTTTCTTGAAACTGTGGCCTGGGTTGAGAGCGTATTATGTATTATGAGGTGTGTGCATGTGGGGGAGAAAGCGAGTTATTTGTTATTTTCTTGAAATGTTATAATATGTAGTACCATATTGTATTTGTATCCTTAACCAACCGATCTAGTTACATGCCAAATGATATATTTCGATTCTGATTATCTTATCGTTTAAAATTCAAGCTAGTGAACAGTATAAAGTTGAATATATATATATATGGGGAAACGTTCAAATAAAAACCACTCAATTTGTAAAAACCGTGAAAACCACATTCAACCAATTATAAATTTTAATTTTGTTCATTTTTTTTGTAATTATGAGAGGTTGATTAATCATTTTATTGTGGAGGGTGTTAATCATGGATATTATCGTCTTTATTATTTTAATTTTAGAGAAATACATGAAACAGTTTTATTAAAATTTCATTAAATATTATATGAAACAATTTCATAATCATATATGAAATAAATTCATCAAAAAATAGTATTATATGAAACAATTTCACAAGATTAAACAATTTCATGAAAAAATTTCATAAGATTAAACAATGAAATGAACGTATGAGGCTGGTTTGTACGGTTTACACAAATGAGAGCGGTTTTCATTTGAACACTCCCCTGTATATATATATACTTCACAGTATTTTACTGTGAAGTTTCAAGTGTAAAAAAATGGTCTCACAGGTCTTATGAAAACAAGCTGGTTTCATCCGATCCAAAGTGTGTGTGTGTGTATATATATATATATATATTCCTTTTTTAAAACCCAATAATGTGTACAACCGTATAAACCAATTTCATGTAAAAAGGTAGTGTTTGAACATTGTTTTTTTTTATTAACCTGGATATCCAATCCGCTATGCGAGCCGACTAATCCCAGAGCGATCACCTGCTTTGCAGATAGCCCGAAGTCACCACATTTGAACCTCCATGACCACAAGGCTATTTTTATTCTTCCTTGGATTTAAACCTGGGACCTCCAGGTACTTTTGACCTTTGGAGTCAAACCAATCAGACACCACCCTTGTGGCTGTGTTTGAACATTGTTGTTTCCATGTGAAACGTTCACGAATGTTTATCTTTTCATACATAATACAATTTTAAAGGTTTTACATTCAAACAAGACTGTCTAAACACAACTTTTTCACTCGTGTTTATTTCATATGTGAAAACAAATTAAACTAGTTTATAAGTTTATATTCATCATTGCATTTGTAAATAATTATACGTGTATATATGTATATCAATTATCGAGAAAGAGGCCATCAACTTACAAGCAAATAGCTCTTCGGAGGTGAGTTTTGTGGGTGTATTTTGGAAGTGTTGATGCATCGTGTATGTCTTTTTCATTTACAGTGTGTTGCAGAAATACGTATTTTTCTCTCTCTCGATATTTTGCATACAAACTTGTATCAGTCAAAATTTGTTAAATCGTAAAGTCGTTAAGTTTCCTTGTATTTTTATTTTTGTGGTAGGGACAAAATAATGATATAATATATGCTATTAATATGATTTGTTTATTATATTATGTCCATTCTGTCGCTTTAAAAATGTTTATTATCTAAAATGATATAAAAAATAAACTGAAACGGGTGACAAAAAGATACTTCATCGACGACTCAATTTATTTAAAATCCAATCTCTTTTATATCATATTTGTCTTTTTAAGGAAATAGTGTACAAACTAAAAGATTTTGACCTTTTTTTTCACATGTATAAAAACTCTCATACAAACCACACATTTAATAAACAAGTTGATAGTTGATAAGTTAACTATTAGCTGTAAATTAGCTAATGAACTAATAAGGTAATAAGCTAGTCGGAAAAATATAAAAAATTTAAAAAATAATTTTTAAATAATCATTACATGTAATATAGAGAAAAATAAAATTGATCAATTTCACATATTTTAACGAAGTAGTAGTTTTTCAAAAGTTATAATTAATAATTAAATTAAATATTCTATTTCAAATTTTTAATCATAATTTTGTAATTATTAAACAAAATAAATAGTACTTTAATTTTTATTGGTGCTGATTTCTTGCAGTCACGATATGTCGGGATTAGTCCAGATATAACCTGGGACACCCTTAAAAAAAGGTTTACTTTAAAAAACGTTTCAATAAATCAGTTTATAAGCCACTTTTTGTCCATCCAAACAGGAATTTGAAATAAACTCAAAAAAGAAACTAAGGGGTCGTTTGTAAAATTCAATTATGTCGCTTACTTATCGGGTAAAATTTTAGTCTACCAAAACAACATCGTACGTTACAATTTACCCAGTAAGTGCTAACCGTGGTAAGAGCAGTTGACATCACTTACCAGGTAAGACTCTTTGGTTCTTGCTTTCACTCTTACCAGGTAAGATTTTTAATCCTTGTTATATTCATCCAGTAAGGAAATGTGACTTGATAAATGCTTACCCGAGTAAGCATTTGGCAAACGGCCCCTAACACATGTTTATCAAACAATACTTTATAGTTTACATAATTTTTAACAACAAAAATTTCAACTTTCGTAAATAAATACACCTATATCGAAACCCGAATGCAAACTCCGTTGGTTCAACCCTTTTACTCTTGTGTGTGATTTCAGTTATCCATTTTTTTTGCTTCGTTTTATAAATATGTACACAAATAAATAAATCTGTAAATAAATGAAACCATAATCAATGTTGATATTTTAGTTCTAATGTCGACAATCTAAAATAAACCATGATGGATTTATTTCATTTGTATGTTTGGGCAAACAAATGAAACATAATCAATGTTGATATTTTAGTTCTAATTTATAATTTTATTCGCTAGTAACTGTTATAGAATACTAGAAGGGTACTTGCGTAATGCAGCGAGATACATCTTGATTTTAAGTTATTGTTTTATGTTTTGTTTTTGCCGATGTTATGAAACGGTTTAACATGGTTTTTAAAAAGCGGATATATAGAGGAAGTTAAATATATACACCATTAAATTCATACAAACCGAAAATTCCATCCGCCCCTACCATACTCCAGCTTGGTAGTTTCCACTGCCTGTCTAGAGTTGAGCCACGGGATTTGACAACAGACTTAAAAAGCCACCTACAGACGTTTTACGCCCAATCATTTTAGATAATCGCTTGCATCCTTTGTATTACTACGACTGCTGGCACAGAGTTTTCGAAAACACAGCTTGGCCAAGACATAACTTTAAAACATAATGGTTTTAAAATTGAACAAAACAAAGACGAGCTTATTTAATCTGTGCAAATACTTCAAAGGCCCATTAAAGCTAGCAAGCCCATTCAAAACACAAGATAAGGCCATAATCTGAAAAAGGATAGCGCAAACAAATCGGTTTTCCATCTGGAGAAGAATCTCTCATATGAAGTGCGCATGATAAAGAACAAGATATGTCTCTCCTTCTTCTTAATCATCCTGCTTGTAAGTCTCTTCCTCCTCTAGACACCTTCATAATCTGTAAAACCCTCACTAACAGATGCATTTCAAGCCCTAGAACTCCAAATTCCTTCAATAATCTAGCTTTTCTTAGAAACTACTCAATCTTTAGAAATACCCATGTTCTAAATTGCTCGAATAATGAAGTTATTGACGAATTCACAACCACCCGTTTGGCCCAAAAGCAAGAAAATGAGATTGAAGAGCTTGGATTGTTGGGTAAACCATCGCCAATGCCTATTAGTATACCAGAAGTTGAAGTTGAAGTTGAGTATGATAAGCCTGATAAAGAGGAGGTATTAGAACCCTTTTATAAGTTTTTTAGAGATGGCAAATCTGTAGAAGAGCCTAGTGACTCAGAAGATGTTAGTGAGATCTTAATGGAGGAAGAAGAGGACAAGAGGGTGTCTGTAGAGTATTATGATCCAAAACCAGGAGATTTTGTGGTGGGTGTGGTGGTTTCTGGGAATGAATACAAGCTTGATGTTAACATTGGTGCTGATTTATTGGGGACAATGTTGACTAAAGAAGTGCTTCCTTTGTATGATAAAGAGTTGGATTCTTTGTTATGTGATCTTGAGAAGAATCCTGAAGAGTTTATGATGAAAGGGAAGATGGGAATTGCGAGAAATGAAGCGGCATTAAGTGGTGGTCCGGTGGCCGGGCTTCCAGTTGTGGAGCATGGAACAGTTTTGTTTGCTGAAGTTTTAGGTAGAACTCTTAGTGGTAGACCGTTGGTCTCCACACGGCGGCTCTTTCGGCGATTGGCCTGGCATCGAGTGAGGCAGGTTCTTTTCTCAGCTTTCTTTTCTTTGATTACGTCTTTTGATGAAGTTCTAGGATTTCGTGTACAAACGGGAGAGGATTATGCATTTATTTTGTAAAATCGACTTACATACTTGATCTACTAGCAATGCTTGCTTCTCATTATCCTTGATTATTAGCGCATGGAAACTAGGATGTGTATCTTTTTTGTATGCTTTTTTACATTTGGAAGTTAGAGTTCATATGAGTTTTGATGTCAAATGATTTGTTTTTTGATTTCAAGTTGTTAAAAAAATTTGAGAGTCGTGAGCATCTTATAAGCAAGGTTCTAAATGACGTGAGGTGTGGATCAAACATCAAGCCTTACGAGTTATGGCAAGGCCACAACACTTTTCAAGGCGTGCCCTAAGGCGTATGCATACATATTTGTATGTATATATATACACTTGTGTATGTTAGTGTTTTGAGTAACCCGTTAGAACAATTTAAATTCTTATAAAGTTATAAAACTAAGAAGGAAAGAGAAACCATTTATATTAAATATATCAAGCTTATAAGAAAATTGATATAGAGTGCCAAATCGGGATTAAATGTCTTGGTTGTTTCTACTCATTATTTGCTTCAATCTTCAAAGAATTTATGTTCGACTCTCTATGCACGGGAATGAGAGTAAGGATTTATCTATTTAGGTTTTGGTTTTTATGTTTCCTTTTAATGTTTATTTAAGTCTTAGTTATTGTCATGATTATCATATATCTCTCAAGTTATATATTTAAAAAATTAATAAAAACCCCATGCCTTACAAAATAATATGTTGTAATGTGACATAACATGCTATAACGCGTTACAACGGAAGCGAAGCCTTAGAGTGGAGCCACAGGGGTTAACGTGGCAGTGAAGCCAAGCCTTAGTGCCATAACGAGTTATTTAGAATTAGAATCGTGCTTATAAGCCATAGTTCATGGCTAACAATAGTTTCCCCTATGGTTTTAAGTTGATTTAGAGATTATTGGGTCAGTCTGTTGCTTTGTACTTGGGACATAATTAAATGGTATTAGAGTCGATCCTTGTACCATCAGGATGGTGTAGCAAATCTTATCGAGGACAATGAGTCTCCGAGGGGGTGTTTGTAACATATTAGGCGAATCCCACATCACTAATGAACAAGTAGAGGAATTTATGACAACTCATTGCGCATTGATGGAAAAAGAGATATGTGAGCTCATTTAAGTTCGGTGGGAATTTTGATAACCATCTAACATGGAAGAAAATGAGATTTGTAAGCTCCTTATAAAGCCTAAGGCTGCCAATAACTTTCACCGTGATAAGGTTATCAAGTCAGGGAGGGGAGGGGA